GTGCTTGAGACTCGAACTGGTCTGCTTCAACTGAAGAAATGATAGGAGTGCACTATGCAACACTCAGTGTAGCGCTTTCTTGATCTAGTCAATCACCACTGGTGAACAAACCAACATTAGCATCGGGACTAAATGCTATCGAAGTTCAATATTAATACTATCCAAAGAAGAGATCTCAGAAGTCCTTTTCATTCCGGAGTCCATCTGTTCTACCAAGATCGATCAACTCGCCTACTTCACGTGGAACGCTACGAATGAACAAGATTGCGCACAACCAGCTCTGTATCCCCAATGGGGGCATTTGTAGAACTTGTGGTAGCTTGTAGATACTCAACTTCAAGAATATCGTTCTCGTGTTCCCGACTGAAGGCAACCAACAATCCATGATTGTAAATAATGTTTGTAACTTTGAGGACGAGCAGCTTCGATCGATTCGGGATGAGTGAGATCTGCCCAGGAGAAATCGTGCTAGAAGGTGTGCGACACAGCAGATTCTGCTGTGTCGCACATCTTCTGGCACGTGTGCAAGCAAGCATTGCCACGATGTGGCAGCACATGCCCTCCTCTTTCAGATAGCGGAGTAGCTACTAGCTTCTCAACAGGAATCTTGTCAACTTCCACTACTTCGACCTTTTTGACGACGAGGATGCATTGGGCGATAGTGGGAGTAGTCTAACGTCGGTGGAATGAATAGTTGCAGTAGATGGGAGATAAAGACTAGTCGCAAATAGGGACAAAGCTAGGAGTCTCACCAGTATCACACAGAGCAACATATGAATACAACACTTAGCTAAACTGGCACAACGGTAGCTATCCAACACCTTTCCAGGTTGCCACCTTGAATTGGAGGGTGATATAGGACTCGCGGTGAGCCAGAAAGCTTCGGGGCTGTGTACGGAACCAAACATTGTCGGACATACTCGTAATCGGCCCTGCATTCACGAGGCGCATGCGTTCCAGGATCCGTCTGGAAGCGGAATATCATCCCATGTGGGCTACTCTCTTTACTTCTCGTAATGCTCCACAATCTCACCGCTTTGCGAGACAACTCGGAGAAACGCGTATACGTCGTTCCCTCACCATTATTGTGGGTTCGCAAGTATTCGTTCACGAAATGATGGAGTCTTTCCATCTTTCCATTGCAGAACGAACTACCCCTTGATGTGGTCAAGTGAACGGTGTCCCATGTCTCCAGCAGTGATGCTATGGAGCTCGACCGACGTGTGCTGACTCCCCATTATGAGAAGTCGTGACGCCAATGATGAGAGCAAATTACTGACATGATGTCAGTGACATCTGAGGCGATAGGCGTATTCAGTGTTGTGCGAATTGCAACGAACCCCGAATGGCTGTCGATCGCCGATACATATTTCGCATTTGTGTTGGTTGATAACACGAGCTAGACTAGCTCAGCTAGTCTAGCTCGAGATTCTGCCCGACGTGTTCTGAACACCGTTTTCTGATCACGACAGGACAGTGACTGCCCGACAGTCTGCAAGGAGTCTGGAAACTCCTTTTATAATCTAACGTTTTTTCTATTATTATTTTCTAATATTATGAGCCCTTCTGGTTATATGTATTATTGCTAATAAATAGCACTCATTTGAGGAGCTGATCCGGATGACCCGGAGCCAACTGAGTAGGCTGGAGCCCTCGAGGATCACCTTGATTTCTTCCCACTGAATCAGTGGCACTGATTGCTGGGCCTCTTGGCGCTAACAGTGACAATAGCGTTCTTGGCTCGAGAGTCTCGAGCCGCGCCTCCGATGGAAGGGACTCATGGCCAAGAGGGGTGAGGAGAAAGTCGCTTCCGTCACCCTCACGCTCTGTGACCACTTGGTGGTCCAACCACGCGGTTGTGATGATGAGCTTGCATGATATCAGTCATCGAGATCCTTCGCTCCCTCAACCGCCGACGGAGACTCCAACTCGGTGTATGCCTCTAAGAACTTGTGAAGAGAATTTGAGCCAGTTCGGATGACAGATGTAGCCGTTGAAGGCGAGTATCACTCGGAGGATGGCCCTCGTAAAATATCAACTAATGATTTAAGCAGTGATATATCGTGGCTTCAAAAGCCCCGTGTCCACCGAGTTATCGGTTGATCAGGCTGTCGGTCACACATGTCCATCGGTTATGAAACATCTCGACAGCGCTGCGGTACATGTTCGAATGCTGTCGTATTCAGTCATGTATTTAGTATTCAATCCAAGTCATCTCATCTGGAATAATCGATATTAAACGAGACTCAACTTCGAGCATTGATCCGCTTTGGATAACATCATAGCCTGGACCAAGTTCAGACAACAGTGGCATTAAAAAAGTTGGAATGTCAATCAATAGTTGACGAAGGGAGTTCTGTGTACAAAATGCCAAGCAAATTTGCCAAGCCATGAAGACTTGCACTCTTTGACCTTGGAGTACTCGATGAAGTCCTTCAAAGCTGCCGAAGGTCTTCCACTCAGCACTATCTTGCCTTTGCCCTTCTCACTGGCGCCCATGACAAGACAGGCATCACTTGGGCCGAGAGAGGTAGCGAAAGTGCCAGCGCCCTTAGGCTTCCATGTGTCTCGAAGATCAGAAAAACGAGAGAGACCACAATAGCGAGTGACCGAAGCGCCCTTGTGCTCGAGACTATCGAGAATGCGTATGTTACAACAGGCATGCGACGCTTGCTCTTCTGCGGGATAAGAGATCTTGGGAATAGGTGGAAGGTCAGGGCACAGGTTACAGTCACCAACCGCGAAGATACACCCTCCGCCGAAGGGAGAGAGTCGATGGTCGTCGTTCATCTGTAGAACTTGCAGTTTCTTATTGACTCTGATCCATCCACCGCCACATGGACCACATTTTTTGGGGTCTTTTTCAATCTTATCTGGAGCGTCAGGGTTGTAGGATGTGAGCGTATTTGGTGGCATGAAATAATTCGATGCTTTTACGCCAATACAAACGAAAGTACTGTCAGGCTGATTCTCCATGCCGATTTGTCTGTAGAAAGCGGGGTCATCCTTGTAACGACCATAGGATATCTTGATGCCTCTATCCCTCATATAAGCCTCACAGTACTCGGCCGCACGTTCTGGAAGGGGACCCAAACATTTCGGTCCGGAGTCTACTATGTGGAGCTTGAGGTTAGGAAAATAGTGTTGTAGTTCAGTAACCCATTCAACGCCGATGAAGCCACCACCCACGACCAGGACACTGCCACTGCGCTCGTTAAGCTCTTTCAGTTTCTCATGTTCCTCCACGATGTGAAGTCTACGGCCCGAGAGGAAGCGCTCATCCAGATGCTTCCAATGGGACTCTTCGCGTGCATCCTCGTGAATAGTTGGAAACCACAAGGACGCGCCCCACTTGTTCATGACACCAAAATTGCAACCTGACGCTATAATGCAGTAGTCAAAATAGACTTCTTGCGTGCTGCAAGAGAACATCGGCTTCACTGAGGCGTACTTGTGAAGGCCGTTGATCGTCTTCACTTCGCCAAAAATGAACTTGCAACCCATCTTCCCCTCCAAGACCGAGGAGTAAATGAATGTGAGACTGTAGTGATGGCCAGGGTGAACAAATGCTCGCAGAACGCCAGGAGTATATTCAAAATACTCCTTGGCATCAACGAGAGTGACCTCAAAACGAGAGGCCAACTCAGAAGCCGCAAACAGGCCACTGAAACCACCACCGACGATGAGAACTCTGCGTTTTTCGAGCATACCTTAACAAAAACGGACTGAAGACTTTCACAACCAAGAGAGGAGGGGAACTCAACATTTGACTTACTCTCCGGCAATACAGAAAAGGAGCAGTAGATAAGATTGTCGAAATTTAAGACACGTAAAGAAGACTAAGATGACTCAATTTATGAGGGGCACACGATGCACCATATACCAGATGCTACGGCCAACGACGCCGCGCCTATACTCATCAACTTTTGTCATTTCAATCATCTTCTTCTGAAGAACAACTGGTCGCCCCCAGAGCGCCATATAGCCTGGATGAGCGCCAGCTACTGCCCCCAGTACAAAACACCCATCATAAGGACCGAGAGACACTGCATAAAAACCAGCACCCCAGGGAGTCCAGGTATCTACCAGCTCACCAGGATAACCAAAAAGAGACTCACGCCAGCTCTTAGTGAACCCAGCTGCTACACGAACATTATGAGAGGCATTATACGCCTGTTGTTCTGTAGGAAAACAGAGCTTCGGAATCATAGGAAGCTCCGAACAAAGGTTGCAATCCCCGACTGCAAATACAGAGCCATCACCAAAGGGGACCTCAGAACCATCAGATTCGACCCTGAGAACCTGGAGCTTTTTATTAACTCTTATCCAGCCACCGCCACCTGGGCCGAGTCTTTTACGATCGGTCTCGAGACAGTCGGGTTTACAAGGGTTGAAACTTGTTAAAGTACATTTAGGCATAAAATAGTTACCTGCTTTGACGCCCATACACTCGTACACACAATCAGGATCTCTCTTCAGCCCGAGCTTGTGGTAGAAGTCGGGTTCTTGAGTATAATGGGCAATGTGTATTTCAATGCCGAGCTGCTTTAACGCGGCCTCACAGTAAGACCGAGCCGCATCGGGTAGATTGCGTAGAATAGTAGGACCAGCATCAACCACGTGCAGCTGGAGATTAGGGTAGTAGTGGGCCATCTCAGTAACCCACTCAATGCCAACAAGACCTCCACCGACGACCACAACTACGCCTCCTTTATTATTGAGTTCAGTGAGCTTATCGTGCTCATTAGAAATATGAGCTCGTCTACCAGCCAAATAGCGTTCGTCGAACTGAGGCCATTGGCTCTCCTTACGAGCGTCCTCAAGGGAGGTAGCATCCCACGGCGTCTCACCCCACTTAGAAGTGAGACCAAATTTACACCCAGTTGCCACAATGCAGTAGTCGAAAGCAACGTCGACCTCCCTGCACCAGATAGGTTTTACTCTGGCAACTTTGCGGGCCTCATCAAGAAACTTCACTTCACCAAAGATGAATTTCCCACCGAGCTTCTCCTCGATCACGGGACCATAGTTGAAGGAGAGATTGGTATGATAGTTAGGCTGACCATATGCCTGCAACACGCCCGGAGTGAACTCGAAATACTCCTTGGCATCAACAAGAGTGACGTCGAACTCACTGCACAGTTGTTCGATAGCACACATACCACCGAAGCCGCCACCAATGATCAGCACGCGAGGCTTCTCAGATGAGGATAGTGGCTGAAAAAACATCACAAACTGCGTAAAAATAGGAATGTCTGAGACGCGACACGAGATTTCACGCACGTTCAAAGCTTCGCTTCGCTAGAAAATGTGCCGTCTTGTGCGCTTTTCAGCTGTGGGATCGTCGTCGTCAGGTGAACAGCAAAAATCTAAGGAGAGTGTAAGTTTTCTAAGAGGTCTGCATTTCCTAAGGAAGCCGGAAAAATCTAAGGATAACGCGAAGATTTCTAAGGAGGTCTGCAAAGTCTAAGGATGGTCGCGTCACACCTCAGGTAGGGCGGCACGGCTTTTACAGGAGGTGCAAGCTTATCCAAACGTAGCTCTACAACAAAGCCTCTATGCAATCTGCACTGTGTAGACTACACAATGTGTTGTGTGATATGACTCGATGTGGGGCCGAGTCATCAGCGGCAGCCCAGTTGCGCAAGTAAACTTCAATTAGGGGAGGCAGGGTTGAAGCTGAAGCAGATGAAGTTGAAATTCTCTTTAAGGGTGATTTCCAATTTAATGGCGCCGGGGCCGTATTATGGGCTGGTTCTCACACGGCTGAGTCTACCATTTGAGGGCGGAGGTAGATGGCCTAAAGAGCTGAAGTCTCGACTCCAAACACTCTTCGACACCCGGCTGCAGGAGGCTTACACAAGCAAAAGCACTGAGACGGGAGTATACAAGGTCTACAAGTGTTGTATTGAAAAATTAAGGAAAAAGTGAGGAAAAATTAAGCTGTGATTACAGCTTAATTTACCAAATGTGCGGGAAAGAAGTCCCGTCTTCAACACACTGTCGGCTTACTCGCCGATTTATTTGGATACGGGCATCCTTAGCATACGTAGAACGATGCATCAATAGCCCCAGACTTAAGAGAGTCGCGTTGAGAGTTAGACCAGTTTTTGCTAAGTGGAAGGGGGAGGGGGTATGAGAGCATCACGAGTTGTAGTGTTACAGTCAGCGAGTGTAACACTTATCGGGGATAGGCCGGACCGCAAAAGAACCTTGGGGAGCTGTTATCCGGGTGAGAGCTGTGATCCGGGTGAGAGCTGTTATCCGGGTGAGAGCTGTTATCCGGGTGAGAGCTGTTGTCCGGGTGAGAGCTGTTATCCGGGTGAGAGCTGTTATCCAAGGCCTCAGAAAAAAAAGCCAATCGCAAGGCAAGAGCGTAACCTCCGTGAACCCGAAACCCGACTCAGGTCGCCCTTCGGGCGACCATCACCCAAAACCCGAAGAGTGGACAGTGTGAGAGCTGAGGGGTTTCCTTAGGGGAAAAACGGAACTCCCTTGGACATTGCCGAACTCCCCTTAGAAAAACGCAGAGGGCGAGCGAAAAGTATTCCTTAGAATTCTTACACTCTCCTTAGAAAAATGATATAGATCGTCGTCGTCACTCAACGAGGAGTTGAGAGACGGGGAGTATCAAATTGCATGTCCGGAAATGTTGCCAGCGGCGCGCGACATGACATGGCTTCGTGGGAGCTTCCTCGCTTCGCCCCTAAGCGCGACTGGGAAACTCCCTCTCAACCAGCTGCCCTAGAAATATGGGATGGAACTCAATATGTTAGAAAGGATGAGTTCACAGAGTTATGGTATCCCGTTACACGTCTATCACGCCGTCTATCTCGTACCTCGGAATAACAATGCATGTGACATGTGCTACCATCAGAGATACGCGGGGAATCTTCCAAGTGCGAGTGAAACTCCTCCATCTTTGTGTGGTGGGGCTCCACAAAGTGAATTGAGGATCTCAATACTCCACCTGTACATTGAACATGACCCTTCATAAATCTGAATTTCCAAACCGATTAAACGTATGTGCGAATTGTGAAAATCACTCACAGTATTTTTCCGGAATGTCACTCCGTACTGATCTGACTTCACAACGACTCTACCTGGGCGTTGGTGCACTCGTTGGGGTGGCGGCACTTTATGCTTCGTAATTTTACGGGAAGTGCTGCCCTTTTTCCCATAGACGAGATGTTCATTATGCTAATGCGCGGAGTATCGACTTGAATCGCCATAGAAGGAAAATAATTGAACACGTGTCGGTTGCATAAACTCAACTTAGGTATCGGACCAAACTGTACATTGATCGTCTCAGGGGCAAGGTGGCTGAGTTGCAGAAGGAATTGGAGGTGAATGACGCTACTAGGGAAGAAGGTTTATTGTCACTTATCTCAGCGGGAGATACCGGGTTACGCCCACTCCACTGAAAAAGAGAAGGAGCCGTCTACTCCTGAGGACCATCACAGGCCAGTTAGAGTGTTCATGGATGGCGCCTTCGACCTCATGCATTATGGACATATGAATGCATTCAGAATTGTAAGCAGTATGTGTTTGCCTTCCTCACCTGCTGACCTCAGCAGGTTTTGAATATGAGTTTAGGGATACCAATGAGAATTTTCCCCGAAAAATTTCTATATTGTCATCACCAACACATGTGTAGTTGACCATGTGCATATTTTGAAGCAGGGAGTATTTCCTAGCATGGATCTCGCAGCTCATATGGTTTTTGCTCACTATCGGAACCACGATATGTCATGAATTGTTGAATACATTGGGTGAATTTCTCGTCTGCTATGCGGCTACTACAGAACGACACGGTTGTGGTTGGAGGCGTGATTTTAAGACGGATATTTGCCACAGCCGCTCGTCCTGAATCTCAATAGAGCGTACAGCAAAGAGAAAGAAACTCTGTAGTTTATAATAGCGAAAATTAGCATGTACTGAAATTTTATGTTTTCCACGGTTGAGATCTACTGGTTGTATTGATGCATAGTACCAGTCCTAGTAGGAGAGGGAATATATACAGTAATATGTACTAATATGTATAGTACATAGTATAAGACAAGATTGGTACTTCGCTTCAATGGAGTTTCACCCTAGTGATATGAAAAACAGTATTGCAATTCACTACGCGGAAAACAATTGTGTCATCGATCGTGGAATCATGCATGTCCTATAGTTTATATGAAGTACTACGTCACTTCACCTTAAACGGTGTTTCCTGGGATTTTCATACAATTTCTACTGCACATAGTAGAGAGTATATTCCACTTGGCCGTTATGGAGTTGTTATATGTCAGGCTCGAGGTTTGGGAGACTGCCTTATTGTAGGAGTTAACTCTAGTGAGACTATAGCAGAATGTAAAGGAACCGCGCCGGTTCTTACCGACGACGAACGATGTGAGCCTTTTACGGTATGAATTTGGAGAGCTACTTGTGATGTTAGGTGAAGCTGTGAGAGCTTGTGTGTGGGTAGATGAAGTGATACCAAAAAGTCCGTACATTATGACGCCCGAGTACATTCAGAATGTGAGGATATTATCTGCCCTTGTTGTGGTCATCGGTTATCATAGGTATTATTCGATGAGTATAAAATTGATTATATAATTCATGGAGATGACCCGTGCCTCGTAGATGGTAAGGATGTGTATGCGAGCGCTAAAGCGGCTGGAAAATACAAGAGTATTCCGAGAACTGAGGGAGTCAGTAATAATAACAGGGTTATGGTGTCGGGTGTGGGGTTCGATCCGGGGACCTTTCGGTTACCCACTTGTAGGCACCAGTGATATCGTGGGTAGAGCGATGATCCTTGCTACGAGTCATCATATCAGTTTGAATGAGGACGAGGACGATGGGAAAGTTGTGGGCAGGAAACGGGCATCTAGCGCTACTTTGCAGCTCGACATGGTAGTATCATACGCGTGCGCAAAATCTTCACAGTGCGCGAATCAGGAACCATCAGTGAGCTCGGGCTCGCGGTTTTTCCCTACAGAGAGGCTGGTGTCTTGTTTTTCGGCTCGAGTGGAAGCCCAGAAGCCTGGACAGAGAGTTGTGTATATTGACGGCGCTTTCGACATGTTCCATGCAGGTGAGGGAAAATAATATTTTTTCTGGAAAAATTTGAAATTTTTTGTTTCAGGTCATATTTCTACTTTGAAGAAAGCCCGTGAGCTCGGTGATTATTTGATTGTCGGTGTCCATTCTGATGTTGTGGTTAACAAAATAAAAGGAGGAGTGTAAGTGGTAGTTGTAACATTCGAAGTGTGACCTGGTATTGGCTCTATCAGGTACCCCTGTATGAATCTTAAGGAGCGCGTTCTGAGCGTCCTGGGATGTAAATATGTTGACGATGTAATAACGTTGTTATTGTGAACAGAAGTCGAATGAACGATTTATATTGGGAGAAAAAATCCGGCTACGTTATTAATTCCCGGCGGGATGACCTCAACGTTTATCTTGACCTTGGGCGTAGATATTCCGTTTTCACCGGGTTTATCGTTTATTGAATCGAATCAACTTCGTCGTTTTGAATTTCTTGACGATGTTAGGGCATATTATTACTGTCATGATGAAAAATAGGAAAACCGTGGGCTAACACTTCGATGTGGCAGTATCATACGCATGCGCAAAATCTTCATAGTGCGCGAACGGGGTTGTTATTTTTAGACTTCAGGTTTTGGCAGATGCTCCGTTTACTCAAACTGAGGATCTCATTCTGCAGTTGGGAGTGTCTGTTGTTGTTAAAGGAACAGAGCGGGATATTGGAGAGAAAACTATGAAAAACATGGACCCTTATAGAGTTCCGCGGGAAATGGGAATTTTGATGGAAATTAAAAGTAATCATTAAAGTAAATTAAGTAAAAATGGATTTTCTTTCCTCTATTTGGTGACGTTTTTACGGTAGGTGAATCTACGTTGACTGTTAGTGGAATTCTTGAGCGTATTGATTCGCAACGGCATGCTAGGGCCAGGGTGATAGCGAACAAAATGGAAAAGGAGAGGGAGTAGTATTATTCATGGGAAAGTATCATCGTATGTGCGTGTTAAGGTACACTGCGAATAAACATAAGGACAGATTGGTGACATCGAATATTTCCTAGATCTTATCACGCTTATTAGCTTAGCAACTATCTTCACAGTTGAGGTTTGTTGCTGGTGAAACTGCTGATTCTTCCTCCGAGAAAATGCGTATAAATGGCAGAACTTTTCGCCCTACATTTTGTTCGGTTAATGGTTCTTCGTGTTGAGTTGAGATAGTCGTGGTAGGAAGGGGAATGAAAATGACTCGGTTTGGAGAACTTGAAATCGGTGGCGAAAAAATATTAAATTTAATCATACCACATTTCGAGTTATTCATGTAGCGTCGGTCTTCGCTCAATAGTGTTTTTCCAGTTTTAGAAATACGGTTTTTGTGGGGAAATGTATATAAACTTTGATAACGTTATTATGTTCATGTTTGGGGTTTTCGCGATGGTTCCGGTCGTAATAGATGTGCAGGGGGTCGAAATCGAGCCCAATGATTGCCCTTTGGAGAAGGAGTTGAATCTTAAACTTACCATTAATGCTTCACAAAAGGTATCCGAGGTTCACGCGTGTAAGATACAAAGTAGGTCCGGTTTAGGTACCAAATGCGCAGTGGACGGTGAACTACTTGGTTGACACTGTGCATGCTAGGAAAATAATAAGTGAAAATTCTGCGATTTTGGTGATATTATTGATAAAACGTTTGTGCAGATCTTGGCTCTTTACCAGAGGGAAGTGTACCGGCCGGGGAAAGTATGGTGGAATTTTTTACCCCGAGTATAAACGTTGAAGGCATTCCTTCTGAGGTTACTTGTCTTCATCCGAACTTCGAGTACTGATGTTATAGGTTCTAACGAATGTTGGACTGCTAACTATGAAGTTGGAGTCTGTCGAGGGGGATAAGAGGGAACATATTGTTGATATTAATATGGTCATTTTCAGCTCAATTATTCATACCACACTTCTTCCGAATCCTAGGTCACTCAAGTATCCTTCGTCAACGGCCATCACGTCCGAACCATCTTCGACCCCACTCAGTGACGTAAATGTTGAGGTCGTTGTTGCGTTGAGGAAATGCAAGTGGGAGCAAGATTGCAAGATTTGGAAAAACGCGTCTCGTTGACCACAGTGACATTGGTGAATTTTTTTTCTATTGATTTTAGTGCCGCTTTTGAATTCACGTTGTACCATGCGGCGGCATTCCCTGAGGTCTTCTATTAATAGGCCTCGGAAAAATTCAAATCAAACCGGCGGAGCGATGCAGACGAGGAAAGGCCTCACTAGTGGTGGTGGTTCTTCGCGCGATACCAAAAAAGTGGGAGAAAATTCTTCAGAGTCTAGTTCCGTCCAGTGGACGGCTGAGATGGAATCTCCAGAGGCGTTGAGCTCTTATTATGTTCGGGAAGTCTGGGCGAGTGATGTTGAGCATGAGCTGAGGTTGATGGAAAAATTAGTTGAAAATTATCCCTACATTGCTGTTGATGGCCGGTTTCCTGGTGTGGTAGCCAGGCCCACTGGTAGTAATAGTGTAGTGGGGAAAATATAAATTTTCGTGTACTTGTGTAATTTTCAGGTCCTTTCAAAAACGACATGGAGCGAAATTACGCGATTATTCGAACTAATATGGGCCTTGTGAAAATACTACAGTTGAGTTTGTCCTTTGCAAATAAGGATGGTGAAGTTGCTGGGCACCCTGAGGACGTTCGGAGTGGGAATATGCGCAGTCAGCGACCTCCTGGCTGTGTTTGGAAAATTAATTTTCATTTCGATGTGCGAAGAGATATGTATTGTCCCGAGGCGTTAGATCGATTAAGACTACCTCTAACGCGAGGTGGTGGTGGTATTGATTTCAAAGAACATTTCAGAAGGGGTGTTAGTGTTGAAACATTCTCAGAGATGATCACTGGAAGCGGTTTGGTGATGGCACCTGAGGTCACGTGGATAACAGTCGGAGGGGCTTTCCTATTTGCCGGCTTAGTAAAAATGCTGACGGGCTGTCGGGAATTGCCGACGACCGAGGAAGAGTTCTCTGAGACCTGTTATGAGTATTTCCCTCACATAAGGGACATGAGAGTATGCAGAGGATGTTCACCGAAGTGTGGTATGCCGCCACGAATACCCTTGCACGCATGCGCATCGGAAATGGCGATTTTGGAAGCATGTGGGTCGTCGTCTGCGGGGCTAACTTCGCCGACTTTAGCAATTTTGGAGGTGTATTTTCGGTATGATCGTTTTGGGGGTAGAGCTACAAGTGCTGTGGATGATTGTTCAGTGTCGTCGTCAACTACACTGCGGAGCGACAGTTTCGAGAGAGCGTCTATGGGGAAGAGGGGGAGGAGAGTATCAAGGAGAGCATCACAATTTGGTCTGGGAGAATTCAACGCGTTGAATATTGGAAGTCCAGCGGCTATTTTGGGAGGAAAAAAAGATGTAATTTCGTGGCGAGTGACGCTGAGAAAAGAAATCGAGGGTGAATATAATTCGATTGATGAGATTCCCGATGAGAGCAAAAACCGAATCAATGGAGTTGTTACCTTGCCAGCAGAAGATGATACTACTACGTCCGAGGTTGGAGTCCAGCCGCCGCGACATAAGCATCCGCTGCGGCACCCAAAGTATCCCAACGGCGCCCCCCCTCCTATGTGTGGTGCTATCAGTTATAAAGGGCCACCTATAGCTGAGCGGAGATTGTCGGCTAAGCGAGGGCAGCTCTTTATGCATTGGGGGTGTGTTCAGTTGCCGGCTGTTGCATCGAGTCATTGTCGTCGACAGGATCAGGGAGAAGAGGAAAGTGGTGACAGTAGTAGTAGTGAGAGTCACCATACGCAAGGCGTGAGAAGTTGAAGCCGGTTTGTATAATGGTATATGTAATATTATGATGATGATTGATCATGATATGATCATCAACATCAGCAGCAGTAGCAGGAGTAAATGTAGCTATATGATATCGTGATACCTCCGACAGTAGATGCGGTCCGTATTGGTGTCGGTGGAATCGGCTCGGTTTTCTTCTGCGGAAGACATTTCGAATAACTCGTTCACTCCGTAACTGTTGAGTTGAGTAATACTGGAGGCAATCCGGATATGGAATCAGTAAGATTCGGCGGAGGTGTGGTATGAAATGCTAGTATTTATAATGTAGCAGTTACTTCTTCGACTGAACACTGCTATTGGGGCTTCTTATGATCAGTTGTTATATTGCCCATTTGCAAATAGTGAGATGTGTTTTTTTTGTGGAAACAGAATTATACACGTTTGACATGGTAGATTATACGAGTCACAAGTTTGAAACGTTGACCATCAACCTTAATCAATCAAACAAATGAACAGAGCCCGCAAAGAGACGGGCGGAACAATGGTACGTAGTATTGGCTATACTACAGTGCGAAGGTTAAAGAGTTCATCATCAGTCACGATGCCGAGTGAGATGTGTTGAAGGTGTGGTATGAACTTTAAGTGCTTATAAGTTACTCGTTCGACAGACTACAGCTATTATACGTTTGGGCGTATAAAGTTGGCGAAGGTGTGGTATGAACTATTCATACTAACAATATAGTAATTACTTCTTCGACTGACCACAGCTACTGTGAGTTCTTATGTTCAGTTGTTATGGTAGCCACATATAACGCTCGTAATAGATGGTAATAAACATTTGAAATAAATTGAATTAAAGCGATAGATTATTCATAAATTGGTTGGATATATAATATATATTTATTTTAAACCAATACCATCTCTGGGGGAAAGTATCATGAATTCCTCCAATACTATGTGTCAAATCATATCATATCATGTGTGTGAAACTATTAAAAAATTTAATAGTAACCACAGCGGTGTGGTTTTGGCAGCGGATAAATGCCTTGTACTCCCCTCGAGAGCTTCTGATCAAACACAGCTTTATCTCGCCACTGTAACCATGTTCTCCCTCTCTCACTGTGCACGCGGTATGTCCCGCGTTCGCCTTGCTGGAGTGAACGGTAATAATAAGAAGTTTGTGGTCCCTGTGGGGGCTGAGGACACTGAGGGTACTGCTGCTGCTATTAAAAAAGCTGTTGAACTCGCGCAGGAAGGTGAGCGTTTTTAAATATGCACATGGTCAACTACATGTGTTGACAACAACTGTGGGAAACTATTGTTCAATTTGTGGAAGAGCTCTCATAATTTGTGGAGAAACCACTGAGCTCAGTTGTGTGAAAGGTATATATATTCAAAACCTATGAGTGACGAAAAATATGCATATGGTCAACTACATGTGTTGACGACTATTAGGAGAATTGTGGTTCAATTCGTGGGAAAGCTTTCACAATCACTGGGGAAACGAGTACTAGCTCAGCTGAGGAAAGAAAACATATATATGAACACTGGCTCTGTCAGTGATGAAAATATGCACATGGTCAACTACACGTGGTGACGACAATGAGGAATTTTGTTTTCTGTACATTTTTACCCCATGTCGTTAGTATTGGAAATTTCTGAGCTCAGCTGGGGGAAAACGGTGGTGATCTTTACGAGCCTCAGGAGATACCATTTCGTGTGTCCACGTGCCACGCCCTTTTCCGGAGTACCTACTATCTAGCATGACCGACCCCGGGGCTGTCAGTGCTGAAGGGGAAGCTCTTGTCTTTGGAGAGTGAGTCAAACAAGGGGGTTTATCGAGTAGTGAGTATTACAAAAATATAGCAAATATTAGTACATGAGATTATGCGTAAAAATAAAAAATATGATAAAACAGTAAGTGTAAATTGATACATATATAGATCGAGCCGCTGATATTATTACTGCTAGTTTTGTTTATATATTTAGTTTATCGAAATCATTCAATCCTGTGGTTGCTATTGGTCCTATCTCCAGGGGAGGGGGGGGGGGGGGGATGTGCTAATTTAATGAAAATTGCGATGAAATTTCTGTGGAAATTCTTGTTGATTTCTGTGCACTTCTGCCCCATGGATGAGGACGCGTATTTTCTAACACTCGCTATCTCGACATGCACTACTGTCAAGAAATCAATTATAGTACAATCCGGTGAAAACAATGTCCAAATCTCATGTGGTTTCTGGTATTTACTACGGAATTTGGACGCTTTATTTTCTCCAGAAGCTGTGGGTGGCCGGTTATAGTTTCCTATAACTAGGACTCCATAACGAAGGGACGGAGCTTGCTGGGTCCGTGTTTGTTGATTCGATCACGAAATTCGACATGTTCCCGGTTCGATCCCTGGGTTGGACATTTTTCGTCAGAAATTGTTTTTGAAACTTCGCGTTTCTTCGATTTCCGCACGAATCTCGGCATATGGAGGAGTCGTTTGATCTATCTGCTGGCCTCCTACGCTTCGCAGTTAAGTCAGAATAATTCTGCACGCACGCACAACGCGAAAGTGCGTGTTGTTGCGGTATATGCTCCGCTCGCTCCACTATTTTATTCTCCCTGAGCAGTTTTTCAAATTGTCCCTTGAAGTGCATTTTGAGATTAGCAGTGAGTGTCTTTAATGCATCATCGTTTTCTATATTGTGAAGATATCTAAAGAGTCTTTTCGAGACCACCGGACCAAACGTGATGACCAAAGTCCGCCAGGAAGTTGAGGAACTATCGAAGGCTAAGAATCTCCACACTGATTTTGAACTCCTTAGTCCCAGCAACAACGTCAAAGTAGTAATGTCATCTTCTGCTCCTGTTTTCACTTTAGGGCGAGCGCTTTTGCCTCAGGTTGAGTTGGTCGCCCATTGCCGTGCTGTGGGCGCTAACTATGTGGTTGTGGGACCTGGCAAAGATTGTTCTGGACGTATGGCTGAGTGGCTTTGCGGGTGATCACCTTGCTGATTCTCGATGACATGCCTCTCTACGTCTGTTTTTAGGAATGTCCGGGGCGCTACGGTGGTGGCTGTGAGGGATCATTGTAGGTGAAGTGGTTCCAGAAGGACTTGGAGGATTCTCCGCTCCGCTGAGTGATTATTATTATGATATCATACAAGGCTTCGTTCTTATAATATCTAATGGTCTTGAGTTCCTATAGTCGGACTCCAGATTTCCACTTTATAGTTCATTCATTGCAGTGGGAAGTTTTTTTCTCATTCGCTACGGGGCGATAAGAATCCCGAGGAGATTAGTAGTCGTCGTCTGGTCTCTTTCATTTGGAAAAACGTTGAGCATTTTATGCTACTTTCTTAGCGACATTTGTTTTCTATCATTTTGTGGCGCGCGGGAAAAAAGTCAGTATCACTCAACACCTAATACCTAGCTCCCTCGATTCAGTATCTCTGGATATTCCTCGGGGGTCTGCCGACCGATCCGCCCGTCGACAGGTGTAGATGAACTCTCCGATGAATCACATAATGACAGTCGACCGGGTAATGCGCACAGCGAAGATTTTTGAGAAGTCCTCATAGAGGCAAGATACGAAATACAGTATTCGATGCTAAGTCGGCGGTATGCGATAATGCATATACCATCAATCACATGAGACTTGGACAGTCTCTTCTCCCCAGGTGCTACACGTGATTGTCTCGTATAGGAGGGACAACTTTTCGGTTGAGAAATTCCATTCCCACTGAGCACGAACAGCACGTCAGTGTTGGGGGAATATATGCTCTCTTTCCTCAGCTGAGCTCGGGAGTTTCCTCACTAACTGTAGGGATTTATATACAAATTCAGGTAGGAGTGCTCAGCGACCAACAGCATTCTCCCAAAATTTCCATATTGTCGCCGATATATGTGGCTGACCATATGCATATCTTCCCACATTGCAGCACGCAACCGCACAAATCGATGAGGCATCACAACAGCCAACATGATAATCATCACTCCAATGCTTTAAAGTGCATTTCACATCTACTCCAGTGTTCATATCCGCTTGCTTCTAGGACCCGACCTCTTGAGTGGTCTCAACTTGACAATTCTTTGGAATTGATTGAATCAATCTTAACGTCGTAGGCAGGGAAGAGGGGATATCCGAACATGACGAGATCATCACCGTGTAAGCCCAAAGACCATCTCGTTCTGTGGCATCTACAGATATAGTGTTTTGGGTTCAATCATCATATCCATGATGGCTAGCCAATAGCAAAACCGATTGTTGGTAGATAGGAAACAGCATTTGCCCTCATCATCTTGAAGTACGTCTAAGGACCTTCCCTAATGAAACAGGTACCTCGAAACCGCATCGAAGTTTTATTGAGATTTTCTTGAGGACGACCAGCCTTGAAAACCCGAAGTTTATGAGGCCCAGGCCTGGAGCGTGCTCATTTGGCATAGTAACAGTTCTGCGGAATCTCATCAGGAAATTCCTCAGAGAGTCGAAGAATTTTATCGACCATAGCGGAATGACAATCCTCTTAACACCCACTATCCCACAATGAAGGGTGTATGATAATCTCCGGATATTATGGTATCGTCCAAAATGAGGCTTCCTGTAACGCCGTTCCCTTTTTCCTATGCATGTACCAAACATGTAAGATCTAGAATGACTTTCCCTCTTTTGAGTTCTTCCAGCAGAGCCTCCTCTGGGACGTCGATACATTGTGTTGAACATGCACGTATATGCATCAGCATCGCCGAAGTGCATCGCCATGCACTACTCCCTCGAGTAGATATCATCACAAGGGTTTGTAGGCGGCCAGAAGTCACAACCTGGAGGGGGCCTTTACCATTCACAGCTTTATACACCGGCCCGTAGTTAGCAAAGCTCCTCGCGCTACCTGTGTCCACTCCGAAATTCAATCCCTGATTATCGAGTATGCCGAGTGGCACGTACTGTTCGGTGGGTGGGAGGCTCAGCGGTGCACCATCTGCGCGTAATGTTTTCACTAAGACTGTCGATGCGTGTGACCGCATTGAGGATATAGCAAATGCTATTACATCACAGAATCGAGTCGGACCTCAAATGCGTGTCAAGTAGAGGGACAGCAAATCCAATTCTTTGTTGATGCTATGAAAGCAGCCGATATCACACAGAGCAGCGGAACTAGATATCTGGTAATTCGAAGTCGCATGCACAATCGTGTGATCTACTGAGTATAGTTGACAATGTCGCTGATGACTGAAAAATGGTAGCACATTTAGGGACACATTCATCATCTAAAATGGTGGCACACACTGACCCAGGGGACTATCCCTCTTCACAATTTTCTTTACTTGGGGCAAACATAACGCAAGGTCGTAAAGAATGGCTTCAATGTTTGTTATCTCTTAATTACTAAGCCTTGATGGCTTCATCATGATGCGTGGCGAGCGCCATTTGAGATACTGATCGAATATATCGAGCGTGCGCCTCTGCAGGTGGTAGATGGGCTCTGCCCCTCTGTAGTTGGTTACAACTCAACAAGTCAATGCTCATCAGTTGTTCCTCGCTATTACTAAGGACTATGTTACGACTCTTTATAACATCAGCGTGGAGCTCAATGACGAGAACAGATCAGTAGACTACTATGATGACAACAACAACAAGTTGGCCCCCATATACGTATCATTACGAGGGACTGTGCTAGACAAGCAGTACTATAATGACTCACGAGCAGTATATGAGAAATTATATTCAGAGCAGCACCAAAGATCGATAAGGTCTTTACAACCAAGGGCTGCTACGCCTTATTGTAACCACCCAAGTAGCAGCATCTTGCAATCTTGCTTAAACTTGCATTTCCTCAACGCCCATTATAGGCACAGGTAAGTCTTAGGTGATTTTTCAAGACTTTCGAGAACAAACCATCCACCGGAGCGGACGGAATTTCAGTGGACACTTTTCACAACGGGAACTGCGACCAAAGCATCAGCAGGGAACTACCGCGCGCCATAAAATTCACCAAGGACCGCTGGAGGCGAAAAAGTATGAGGAGGCAGAGAGTCGCAGCTGAGCAGAAACAACTAAGCGGGAAAAATTCCTTGTTCTGTGTATTATCTAAAAAGTCAAATGTTTATGCTACCGCTGCGACTACAATTATTCTGCCAGCTTGGCACAATTTCGCCTGAGGCGCTACTCAGTCGCAGAAGGCTGTGGTGCAGTAAGTGCAGTCACCACCAAAGCATATACAGAGTACGCCACAGCGTTGTGCTGAACGAAATAGAGCTGCTCTCATATGATTAGTCATTTCTTACGTACCGGAAATGCCCGGAGAATCGCTGCACTCAAGCCTTTATAAAAACGTCCGAGCCCACCAGCTTTGTAAAGGTCGCCGACGCAGTTACGCACACATGCCCAGGTACGCTCTGAAGAAATCGGTGATTGGTGTATACCCAAGAAACAAAATTTAATAATGCATATAATCATATAAAGTTTGTATTGATTTAACGGTGTAAGACTTCATATATTAATATTGGAGTTTTTACGTGAAGTGGCGAAATACTCTGCGAAAAACGCGATATTCGCGCTGATATGCAGTAGTTGGTGAAATATCTTTTCCACTAGTGTTTTTCATATCACGGATGCGACTCAAATGTACTAAGTGGAGCTTCACCGGTGATATGAGAAACACTAGTGAGAAACCTATTTCACAACTTTTTTAAGAATTGTGTTATCGGTGTTCGTTGAAATATACACCACCTGGAAAATTTACGTGGAGTATTACACCACTTCACATAAAATCGGTAAAACTCCATGATCGATAATGACCATTGATTCATCCCCTCCAGAAAACAAACCTCTATGCGGTGTCCTCGAGCATCGTCATTCACATATATAACAAATTTATCTATTGCTATGTGCATGCGTGCAAATATAAATTTACCATTGATTTTCTGTCCCTGCATGTTCGCCTTGATAACATCCATAGGGAATACCGCAGCCCAGAATATTGATCCACTGATTCCACCAGAAAGCATTAGAGACCATGTTGGCAACTTTGCTATGTACTTTTCACTACAGTCGCCGTACATGTACCTAACCTAATCCGTATCTTACCCGCTGGAACCTAAGATTCTCTCACTCTGCAAATCTACTCCGTGAATACTCAAACGTAGGATATGACATACTCCATCCCACCACATTACGCATGCACATAGCAGTAAGCCCCATATTATAAGCTCGAGAACCGACGACCTACACAAGTGAAAAAGCGCTCGCCCGAAAAATTTCATCTGGTCACCTTACTTGTTTGGTACAGTCAATGAGACCACCATAAACAGTACCAAGATGCTCTGCCCGACGAATAGCGACGGCCTGAAAGGGAAAGGGAAGAACTAAGAAATATAATCAACTTTATTTGATCAGTTTTACGGAATCACATTTTTGAATTGATCAAACTACTTAATATAATCTATTGATTCGTTTGTTATAACCACTATCATATAGATATTGCCACTCACACTACTTCATAATGATGATGATGATGATGATGATGATGATGATCATATAGTAGCATCATTTACACTACTTCATAATGATGATGATCATCATCATATACATATGTTACATAAGACTACACGTGTATTATTCCTACATGGTTAACCACCGAAGTGTATTGAGATGAAGCCACATTTATCGAAGCACTCAGTCCTCGCACATACTGCATCTGGAGTTGGAGTTTCACCACCTCAAAAGGACAGCCGATAACAGCAGCCGCAAGACCCGCAGTCCCACCTGATGAACAACAATTATGACCATAAAAGCAATGTGAAAACATGATCAACTACGTGTGTTGGTGATAATAAGAAAATTGTCAGGGAATTTTGGGCAATTATTACCAAAAAATTTTCAAAATTTCCTCATAGGCTTCAATTAAAATTATTGGTTCTTGTACACTTCTATTCGAAATTGTTCATAAGCTCCTAAGCTTAGCTGAGTAGTAAAGCCAACATATTCCCCAACCACTACCAGAAATCGCAGCCGTTTTAGCTGGGCCTAACGAGTGGCCCTCCCGCTGCTTGAGCCATGTGCTCATATAACCGTATACACCGAATGCTGTCATCCCTATCGCGACGTCACCAATCATAGGAGATGACACTCCCTTGTAAAAACCTACTCATGAACAATCCTATACCATAACAACAGCAAATCAGCGATTGTTCATGTAGTACCTCGAAAGCCTTCATTTTTCCATGTTATCCTCATACAGTCCAAAGGGGATTTATACAGCGATGCAGAAGCGACTCTATTTTTCATCAAATCCAACGGGTATGATGATATCAATGCTACGAACGACGCTGAGTAACACCACAGAGACAATATGAGATAGAGTACGGAAAAATTGGCTCAAAAAATTTCAGCCATTACTCAGCATCTACCACAATCAACGATAAGCCACATACTTCACTATATTTTTATGCAACTTTCTCATTGTCTTTTAAAACTACACGAAAGAAGCTCCAGCATACTTTATCATAGTCAGTTCATGCGTGAGATATATATATTCTGTCCCTATAAAATACACACTCACAATTGCTGGCTATTTTCTCCGTGAAATTATACCAAACAGTTCGTATGAAGTGATTTCCTCATGATGAAACGACGAGTTCCAATCGACATATTCCATGAACTCACCACTTGGCAGTTTTCCGATAATACACATAACAAACGTAATAATACTACTGATAGTGTTATGTCGCGTACAAGCCCGCAACCATCGTATTACCTGCAGCGCCAGCAAGAGTGTGTAGCTGTCCTAAGGTCAAGCATTGACCTAGATATGTAGCCATACTAGGTGCAGCAGTATGTAGTATATGACTACTACCACTACCTCTCAAACTTGCTAAGGGCAAATTGGGAGGTTTATTTACGTAAAAGGCACTGAACAGGATAAGACGATTCACTACAGCAACTGTACAATGGGAATAATTATGATCATTACGAACTACGCCAGAGAGTTTCACCTTCGTTTTGTTCAAGTAGTAACAAGGAAAAAATATCGTCTTGAAATCAAAGAAATAACCGTGAAAGTTTCTCTGGAATGCCATCAGGATTATCACTCAAGACAACCAAATAGATTACTAAGACGCTATAGGAATTATACCAGTCGGATTTAGGTCATTTATCATTTTCCCGTGAAACCCCAAACTTACAAATATAAAAAATATTAACTTTAAGATTCCAACCTATAACATGCATGTCCACAACTAGATCATATTTCTACCAAAATTCTCATACCTATATGTCTATCCCAGCACACTGTATTACTACCTAGCTGCCGTTGACATCATCATTCCAACTGCAGCAGCATAAACGCTGGTTGGGGGTAGTAGTGGGAGATGACCATATCCTCTATCCTTATGCTCATGCTGCTGTTGATGTTGCATAGGCCGATACGGGCTCGACCAGTGCTCAACAACAATCCTAAACATATAAAGACGATCATGCTGTTACATGTCACTACTTGCGTCGTGCAAAATGCCGAAAAATGGTGTCACCAAGGATCGAACGCGGGAGCTTTCGGTAAAGCCGCGATGAAATTATTTACCATAAACTCAAATCCGGAGATCACTTCGTGGATTGACTTCATCAAAAACTTGACACTCGGAACAGATTTTGAGATAAAATAGCATAGGGTAAGCACACAGAGCTTGGAGGAGGCTAAACCCCCCCGTAGACCAGTACTGGCAGTGAACACCAGGATAGTTCAAAAGTATAATCAATACAAACGGTCGACAAGCGATCGTTTATCTGTAATAGCCTTCTAGTTGAGAATATAGCCATGAAATCTCGTGCTTCGTCATCGCTCATACGGTGACATAAGCAGAATACCGTGTACAAATCCGAAGGTATCGCGAGGTTCGCCCAACAAAACTCTATTAGCTCCAACTTGGTGTCACCAGGTTTTGTTAAACCAAGGTCAAGTGTCTTGGTAACTCTGGATCTAAAAACGAATGTTTCCAATTCCTTGTTCATCCTCTCGGAAGCAGCCAGTCCCTCATAAATTTTGGGCCATACATTTGGATCATGTGATGTAGCGCAATTATCCACGATATAACGCAGTTTTCCCTTTTGCGCATTCTCCGTATGGCACTCCTCGAAAGCAAGGAGTTGCTGGTGGGGTACAAGTAGGCCTACGCTAACGTAAACCGTTGAGACTTTAGACAGGGAGTTTCCATGCTGCAAAGCCCTTCGTCCGAGAAGACGAACATCTATAACGTAGCTGGGAAGTCGCGGTATGTTTATAACCATAACCTTTGCACTTCGACATTTTTTTGCTGTCGCTGCGCCCAGCCATATTAATGAGGAAGTCCTCTGGTGCGTCTGAATCACCAAAGGCCGCTTCAGTAGCCTTCACATACTCGTCAGCCATCCCACAGCCTGACCGACACAGCGGCTCAATAATGGCCGGCTGTTGCCTTCCAGTCGTAGCAGAAGGATCATACCGGGCTCGCAATACATCGACATCATTCATACAAACGTCACTTTTACAACGTTGTCTTCGAAGGAGTTGAAGTAGTTGCGATTGGAGGGCTGGATTCGTCATAAGTCGCGATGAGGATACACCTCGGGCTAATGCTGAACGTTAAGCTGTAATTATCATCGAAGTCACCGAGTCTCGAACTTGTAGTGAGTGCACCACGAAATTGCACCAACTACAAACCTCATCTAGATCCATCTCGAAACCATGTCACGAGTTCATCACCACCTTATTGCGATAGCGCTCAATTTCAGACCAGGCGCGAGACTCAGAAGACAAGCATCGCGCGAGATCCTGGATCGCCGCCAGATGTCAGCTGATAAAAACAGTTCAGCACGACCTAGTTACCACTCCAGATGGAAAAGTAAACGGAAAACCTCTGACTCTGTTTTCTTAAGGAAGACACCTCGTACGTGGCTACTTGCATTCCTCCACGCGTAGGTGTCTCATCGACACGAAGACGATGTTCGGGAGCCTTGTTCGACTATCAATTGTGTTGATCATCTGAGCATAATCGAGGAGAACAATACCCTGACATACAACTAACTCAGGTTCAAATCCCCCCATTATGAATGTAACCCACTTGGAACTCAGCAAATCACTGTTTGTGGAAATAACTTCGCGGAATGACGACGACAGTGGCAGACAGCAGCACCGTTGGTTCTCAGTGAATAAGCTGATACTAGCATTTCGAATCCTCACTCTGAGCACGTCGGGTCGTTATTCGACCTTCAAAGCCTTTCCATAATCAACGACGAAGTCAACCTAGAATGATATGTATTGAGTCGACTCAACGTAGCATACTTCCTAGGTACTACTATGCTTTTTATTTTCTTTTTCCATTATGAACCTCTCTAGCTCTAGTACTTTCTTAACTCGATCGAGCTCACTACTATTTGGCCCTAAAATGTCCACATATATAACCCTACATGAGGGGTAATTCACCTGAACAGTTGGCAGCTTGATAGGGGCTTTTGATACGAACAGTATAACACAGTATATCCTGACCATCCCACCGGCAAGGCATCGTCTTAGACATGAGATCAAATACAGTCTAAAACATAACGACAAAATTGTTTGGACCGTTTACACACGGGGTAAATCGATCGAACTTCTGTATAGCACTACTATTAGATCGAGCGTGTCACCATTAGTATCACCTGGGCAAGTTGCGTGACACCAACACCGTACCGATCCCGGGTGTCTTGGAAGTTATGCTCAGCGTCGGTCATTTGTAATTGTAGCTGAATAATACATACCGTAATTTAGCCGAAAATTCCCCAACCCATCCATGATACCGTTTTGAGATCTATATAGGGTAGGGGAGCCTCTAAAGCCACCGGAGGCTTTAGCGCTTTGATATCACGGATAGTATCTTCAAACCAGAAATATCTTCAGGTCCCCCGACAAAGATTCAAAATAGGTCCCCTCGAGTACTACTCGTCTTTATCCAATGATACGTGCATCTATCCTTACTCACGAGTTCCCGTAGCACGATTGAGTTCGAGTCCGCTATGTCGTAGCTGAGCAGACCTCACCCTCCAACACTGTAGGCTACCCTACCAGAAGAGTTCCCCTTGAAAAGAGTCTCCATTAATCGTCTTTACTGAGATGCTACAGCCTAAGAAGTTCTGCCCGGGTGACCCCGGCCCCCAACCGGTCACTGCTGCTGCTGTTGCCATAGCCTGCTCAATAAAACTATATAACGCTTTACAATGAGGAGGGAAAAGAAATTCTAGCAAGTTGGAGCAGCCGAATACAGACAGCGTTGAGGAAATGCAAGATGTTGCAAGATATTGCAAGATATTGCTAGTTGTAACTGGCCCTCAGTGTTCCGTCTGCGACTTCTGGTCTGCTTGTGATCAGAAGCACGACGGGTTCACCACCCACACAAGCAGCGTGTGCATTCCATCGTATCGTACACGTGTGTTTTCATGCTACCACGGAAAATCACATATTTCTGTGATTCAAAATCCATTGTGGCGTCGAGCACTACTCCCCAATATTGAGGTTAGTATAATAAAGACATTACATTTACGCGAAGTATTATAAATAGTTCATGACGTTGATATGATGATATATATACAGGCCAATGTAGTGTAGAAGTTATCAATCTCAAATCAGAATCGGCATATTAGAAATGTTATCATCTGAAAGCGATTCTCCAATAGACTTCGACACCAGTGGAAGCGACTCTGTCCCGGATCAGCTCGACGGACCGGTGCTGCCACTAGAATCACCACTAAAGCAATCTGATGGCCCTCCTATTGTGGACGACAACCCAATAGTAGTAGTAGTAGTAGTAGTAGTAGTAGTAGTAGTAGTAGTAGTAGTAGTAGTAGTAGTAGTAGGGCTACGACGCTATGTTAACTGCAGAGATGTACTATGTAGGTGGAAAGTAACGTGTCAGACCATGCGGCTGTTGATTCCACTAGTAGTGACTCCAAGCATCACCAACAAGAACAGCAGCATAGGACTGTAGGCAAGCATAGTGATGTATTAGTGACTCGGTTGTGTGCATTAGGTTAGAACATCAACTCTTACAGAAGACGACTGTATGACGCTTGCACAGGAGGAGGATGAGGCGAAGAAGACGATAAGACGGGAAGCTCAAGAGGCGATCAAGTGGGGTATTGTGTCGACAACAACAACAGCAGCATTGTTGTGGCCTTTTGGTATTCACCAGTTTTTACCTAGCAAACTCGTAAACGCGTATGGAAATCTGATAGAAAGTATGTACACATATTATCAAAGTGTTAATAGCAACATGATAGGTGAGGAAGATGTAACGCGTGAAAGCTGACATCGACAGTTCAATATGTAAATTAGACTACCCATAATAATACCCTTTATTAAATAAACAGATCATAATTAAATATAGATATTCCTAATATACTATTAACCATTAAATAGACCATCATTAGGTTATCGTTGATATTTAATTATATATTTTTGATAATAATACCATTATCTAGATATTATTGGTGGCCATACGTATTCGTCGTCAATTTGAATTTTGTTGAGAACTTCGGTGGAGTGAACAAGCTTGACTAACGTATCGACGATGATAGTAAAATTCTGAGAAAATTTTGACGTTTTGAATTCTTTGAAAATTTTGGTCGGTTTGCAATCTCCTACACTAAGTTGATTTGGTGGTGCGCAAACGCCTGAGCTCAGCTGAAAGGTCCAACGGTGTCGGAGTATATGTTTGATTTCCTCAATAACAATATAAGTTTATTTACGAATTCGGGTAAAAATTATTTTCAGGTTTTCATCAGAATTTCCATATTGTCACAATTGGTTGACTGAGTGCATATTTCCCCACACTGAAAACCACACACATTACAACAGTGCCACTTGATAGCAGCATTGGGTGTTTTAGGTCATTCTACGATGAGCGTCAATGCCGCATAGAGGAAAACAAAAAGAATAATCTCGCCGAAATGGAAAACATTGAATCCAGTAAACTGCGAATGTTGGACAAAGCCGCGAGCAACAAAACGTAGGGGTTTTCCGGAAATTTGCAAATTTTACTTTTTTTTCCACAGCCCATGGGTTGTCATTGCTGAGCACGTGAATTTCGTGTCGTTGAGTCGAGGCATCAGTGTGGAATCACAAGGTAGCAGTGGAGAACAAGTGAGGCGAAGTAAGGACCTGGACGCGGAAGTAGGGACCAGGAGCAGGATGAAGATGTTGATGAAAGAGCTACGGAACGATGAAGTGGCAAGAGGCACTGAATGAAGAAAGTTACGTGCCCTCGGGAGAAGCGATCTTATTCATATGATTTTCCTATAATTGTTATCACTGGGACTCAGCTGTTAATAGCTCATTATTGGAATTGGCCTCTGGATGGTCTTTTCTGAGCAACTCTGCTGATTGTGTTATTCCCCATAGTAAACGCCGTAACGCGCCTAATCTGCACACCATTGAAATCAGCACGATACGAACATTACTGGTTGGTAAAGTTGTCTCAATCTACACAGTGATCGTAATGGATGACGATTTGCTACATCAACTTTTCGAACGGAAACTTGTTCCTCTCCGTAGTTGAGTACACCTCTTCTGAACTGGAGGTAACCCAAGAATAGGTAGTTGATCGGAAGTTCTGATTACAAACTCTTTGTGTCTTGTTTAGAAGGTCACTGGTGATACGAGTGGGCAAGGGGAAAACTTGCATAATCAAACAACACACACCGGGGCGTGATGCACCCATAGTGTATACGGAACAGAGGCAAAAATAAGAGAAGAAAAAATATTAGCAGTTGAAGTCTTTTCATTATAGCAGTTGAGGCTCTAGCCTGAGCTGTGTGTTGCACAACTTCGTCCAACGTGAGACAGTGATGGAGTGTTGGTGTGCTTAGACTTCTGTGCTCCTACAGAGAAATATCCTCAACATTGTATCTTGAATTCAATACGGTGATAGCAGTCTGTGTATGGGTCTTATGCTGTTGTAAGAATGCACCTTCTGAAAGGACTTATCGTTTTTTTGCGTTCGGGCATCACCCCTCATATCGTTATTATCATTGGCCATTGATATACTATAAAGAACCTCTATGTGCGCTGCTCGCGGTAGACCGGTATGAGTAGGATTCAGGACTTCGAAATTATAGTCATACCTGTACCCATTACAAGAGTCAAATCGTGTTGATGGTATTCATGTTAGCTATAACGTGGAAACCCTAAGGCACAACGGGTGGTGGTCCACGACATCAATGGTGTTTCACCCTAGTGATATGAAAACTACTAGTGGAGAACATATTCCACGACTACTGCATATCAACTCGAATATCGCGTTTTTCACAGCGTATTACGCCACCTCACGTAAAACGGGTGAAATGATGGAATGCTGTGGAAATGCGTTAATTCTTTCGGCTTTTCGGACTCATGACATGTTCCTAGACATCTATGCCTTCGAGATTAGAGTCTTATGGAAAGCAGTGCTCGAAAGCGAAGCATTGGCTTCCTCATCAGTTCGAATATATTCACGTGTTGTCTCCCTCTAGTGGGTGAATGTTTCGCCGTGATACTTTCTCCAACGCAACCCGATTTATAGAAGACCATAAGAACCAACGATATGACATGTCGCATTTACATACCACATCACAATCACAGTAGTAGAATTATTCCAAGCACGGTTACTTCGTCACACACTGCTGCTGCTGCGAGGTACGCGAAGATTTCCTCTGTAGTTCCCTCCTGCAAACATCAAACATTACCATCTACTACACAGCTATCTTCAGACTGCTCATCTAAGCGCTTCGCTCCGCTAATATTTCGTGGATTTTCCAAAATAAATTCAACCAACTTTCTCGAATACCTCTTCCAGTCGTATCCAAATGAAATATGACCCGTTGTTAACCCTTTGGGAACTCAAGGCAATGATTAATGGAATCTACAATCATACTCATAAAGTCAGCAACTAGCTTAAGCTAAGATTCCATAGTTGTGCACTCATCACAACTACACCCATCTCGCTGTTACTCAGGGATGTACGCCGACTTAGGCCGCCGCATTTGAGCACGCAGTGTGTGGGGGAGAAGAATATGCACATGGTCAACTACACGTGTTGGTGATGACAATATGGAAACTATGAAAAAATTTTGGGGGAATATTACTCACTCTCTACAATTCAACCCCAAGTCATATGTGAATTTCAATAATTAGTGAGGAAACTCCTGAGTTCATCTGAGTTATCGAATAAAAACGACATGTGCCAATTACGACAGGCAACACTACCAATCTGAAAGCCCGGGTTCTATTCCCCCCTCAATACTAAAGAAGGAGTATTACAAACCCCTAGAGCGCCGAGTATCACATACTACAACAAGAGAGAGAGCCTGCTGAAAATAATGTTCGTGATAGCAGCCCGGAATATCACGAATTCAATATTTATGAAATCAATATTAATATCAGATTAAATTTCTATTAGTACTGCCAAAGGACCACTATAAGAGGAGTATGGCTGCACAAACGAGCAGCTCCAAAACGAGCGGCGGCCAAAGCCTGGCATATGCACTAAGAGAAATTCACATGGTTTAGTATACGTTTGGGGTTACAATATTTAACCACTCGCATTCAGTGGTATTATAGTATAGCCTTTAGCCCGGCGAGACATGCCACACCGTCGTCCAGAATCCCTTCTCATAACGGTTTCGGCTACTCTGCGATATAACACAGCTACTGTGACTGCTTCCTTAAACACGTGTAACACACTTAAACACATATGTTTTCCTTTTTTATATCACTAACTCTACAATGAGCAGTGCAGCATGTGACGTATTACTATTCACAGAGAATAAGTCGCCCTCACTGACTACAGAAGACCGGTGCTTATGATGAGCTGTAATAATATACGACTTTCAGCAATTCAAAATGCTGTTACAAAATGTAAGCGTTAATATTATGATATATATAATCAGAATAAGACCATACAACAAACCATGAAGTCGCGGAAATGTGGTATGAACAAAAGAATCTACAACTGTAGAACGTTATAATAGTAACAACAATCACAGACATAACTACTGCAATCTCAGCCCGATAGAAAACTATCCTCAACTACGCGTGGTGACACCGTGGTGGTGACACAAGCCGGACTAGGTACATATCTTCCGCTCGAACAGCTCATGCTGAGGCTTTCACGTTGCACTACTTCGGCATTCTGAAATAGTTTACCGAATTAATGTGGGAGTATGTTTGTTTTCCTGATTAGCTGAGCTTAGGAGTTTATATAGAAAAATTGTAATGAAAGTGTTCAGAAGCCGAAAAGAACTCCCCAAAAAAATTCTCACGATTTCAATATTGTCACCGATACATGTTTTCAAACATACTTCACAACAACAAATGTTCACGATAGTTTGCACTGTTCTATCGTATTAAACATGAAGAACATATAGTAACAACATAAACATATAGTAACAACATAAACATATAGTAACAACATAAACATATAGTAACAACATAAACATATAGTAACAACATAAACATATAGTAACAACATAAACATATAGTA